ACGAGTAATTAATTATTAAAAATCGTTGTCTTAGGCCGGCCTACCGCCCAATTCGAGCGCGTGGCAAGATGTGACCGCCTGGCGATCGATATTGCTATGCGCACATCTCGCCACGCGCTCGAATTGGGCGGTAGGCCGGGCTAAGACAACGATTTTTAATAATTAATTACTCGTTAACTATTACGAAAATTGCAAAATGGTACAGGACTTTTCCGTTCATCTCGATCCGTTCTACCTTCTCAAAAATTTTGTCGGATATGGAAAGACTCACCCTGTAGATTAAGAATCTTTTTGACTTTTTTGTTTCAGGTAAGCCTGAACGATAAAAGTCATAAACGCAGCGGACTTGCATTTTGACACGTCATTCGAACGGTGTAGAAAACGCTTAATTGAAAAATTGTTTAAATTATGACAAACAATTTTTTGTCTTACATAAGAGTGCCCAGATAAATCCCAAAAGATTTATTTCTTTGTATGATGCATTTACTGTGAAAAAAATTGTTAGAGATAAGAATAGTTTTCGGGCCGTTAAAGTGCAATGACCCCTTAAGATAAAAATATTCCTTTCTCTATAATAAATACGATTGGCGCTACATCGATCCTGTTTTATGATACACTCAAGTGTAATAGCATTGGATCCGGAAATTCTTTCTGCGGGTGCTTCAAAGGGTTAAAGCCCACGTTAATCCCCCGATTTCCGCTGCGCGCGAACATTGTCGCATACGTTAGATATGATGTACAGGATTGTCCTTATGATAATTGACTTCCCCAACAGATACAGTATATGCACGACGGTAGCGAAACCACAGAGGACAGCATGATTCTGGAATTGACGTTGGTGGCTGGGACAGGCTATACGCTTCCAGGATACCTCCAAGGACGCCTCAGATTCCCTCTTCACGTTAATGTCACTCCTGTCAATGACCCGCCGTTACTCGAGATACCGACCGCGAAAGTGCTGCGTCTGGCCCAAGTAAGAACACGAAAATAAACCGCGGGCTCCTCTGTTTCCCCTCGAACCGAACGCGTTTATCGCGCGATACATTTTTCGTCGGGACACGCCGCGGCGATAATCCGAGACACCGTTGCGTCTGGCACGGCCGAAACAACACCGGCGCTCGACGCCACTCGGCTAAATCAATTAATGGAGGCCGGGTGAAATAGTAGCTTATTTGTGGCTCGTGCATCTTCGGAGAACGTGGCAATTTAGCCGCAACGAAATCGATTTAACTCGCTCGCGCGCCGGTCATCGCTCTTAATTAACTGCGCGTGTAAGCTCGAGGGGGTGTGCGCGTGTGTATATCATGCACGCGCATAACGCGCAGTCTCTTCTTTTTTCTCCTCAATCCGGATGGAATTCTCGGAAGAGCAATAATCGCGGAATATGAAGACGGAAATTATAATTGCGTTATTCACGTTCATTTAACCTCGTGCACGCCCGGGCGATCCCGGCACGCTAAGTAACGCCACAGCAAAATACTCGTTGCGCGAAAATAGTAGACACTTGTAATTACTAAACTGGCTGTTAATTAATTTTTTTAAACTCTTACGGAAGTGCGCACGGACAAAAGTGGCTGTGCCGCGTTAACCGGCGCTAATAATATTAAAATCAAATAAATGATATATTAAAATGAAAAAACGTGGCAACTTTTTTTTTTATAGAAAATTGATCCATTTGCACAAATTATCCTTGCATAGAAATAAATTTCACCGCTAAACGAATATATTGATATGAAATATTAAGGCGTGTACTCGCTGTGCGCGCCCGATGCGCGTAGCGGTTTTCACGTCAGCGCGAAAGTAACGGCGCATTTTTTCGCCAATTCGCTGAATCCTTTCATCCTACATGCCCGCGCAACTATTCGCCGGGTGATTCCAGGCAAATATAAAATGTGCGGGGAAAAACGCTGATATTTGCAGGGTACAAGAAAAATACTGACCAAGGAGTTAATATGGGCTATAGACGCCGACACCCCGTCGGAAATGCTGATTTATACGGTTTTACGAGCAGACACTGACGCCGGGCACATCGAACGAGTTACCTCCCCGTTTCGACCTATCGACACGTTCACGCAGGCCGAATTAATGCAGGGCCTCATCGCGTACGTGCATCGCGGGAACGGTAACGATCTTCATTGTTGCTAATCGCAGAAGAAACGGTGTGC